TATAGGATAACTTAAAAATCACATTTATTAAAAAGTCAGATAGTTAAAAAAATAGCAATTATCAACATCAGTATAAAATCTAAAATTATAAATAGAAACATAACAATAAAAAAATGTATGCTTTAAATATTAGTATCAAATATTAAAATTAAATTACCAGATCATTCATATAACAAAAAAACAAACAAGAGAGCAAGACCCAAACAAATCCATTCAACATTTATTGTAATCCATGCAGACATCCAATTTACATTTTTACCACAAAACTCAGAGGACCATATTTTATTACCCCACTAATTCCCTATAGTTAGATATATTAGAGATGAAAAAATATAATTTTCTCATATCTTCTATAGTGGTTGGCTTGAATATTTCGATCCCATTAAGATTTCCCATACCATGGTAAGTTCTAATTCTCAAATTATTATATATTGGGCATTTAAATAATAAATAATAAAGTGTTTCTTTTTCAATTGTATTGCACATTTTGCTCTCAAGTTGTGGATTTATTTTTTAAATTTGATTGGTGACTGAAATTTCAAGTATTTTCCCGAGAGGCGGATCTAATTTCAAATATACCGGATTATTGAGTAATACTCTTGTATATTTGAAATTAGCCGGCACCAACAGGTACTGGGAGATCCTACTATTGTAAAAAAAAAAAATTCAAATATTCACTATAAGCTGAACAATGCAATGCTTTCTTGTCACCCTGCTGCAAATGTCGTTTATATTTGTTTAATATCCTGTTAATATTAGATCTAATTATTGAGTCAGTTTCATAAACTAAATCGCCTTCCTCTGAAGAATCTAACAAAACTTTCGGCTGAGCACACGAATTATATTTCGAACAGAATTAGATTGGTAACATTTGGTTCTTTGCTTTTCGAAACATATCTTAGGACAATAGGCACCATACTAACCATTGGTTCAAGTCAAAATGAACTCATGGAAGGCGAGAGATAAGTTTCAAAAAGGCCATCATTAATACAGCTTTGCTATATTGTGCTCAGGTATGGAGTCTTAGACCTCTTACAAATCAACATAATTTTTTATAAAAAGTAATTTTCTCTTTGTAAATCCACCCCAGACTTTTTAATACATTTAGGAACTGGTTCTATTCATATTGGTTTCGATGCTATGAAGTATTCCTTGAATTGGTTGGTTAGGCTTGCAGAAATGGAGGAATGTAGATATCCTAAAATAAAAATCATAAACAATTTTTATCACTTAAGTAATTGAGTTCAAATTCAATTAGCAAGAAGCATGTGGGTATGGAAGAAATGAAAAAATTCAAAGAAAAAAACCATTAAAAAAAATGTTTTTTTTAATTTAGTAAAATGGGTTAAAACAAAACGTGGAATTGAATCATTAATTGGCCATTATGCTAAAATATGGTATAAATCATAAGTGGGGAACCTTTTTATCATCAGAGTCCACAGTGAAACACAGTATTAATGGAGCCCCCAATTTGTTGCTAGTTTTATTTACCACTGACACCCATATACAGATATTCAACTTAATTCCATTATTTTCAATAACTAAATATTAATTAAATCTGGTGCTAGATAAATAAATATCACACAAAAATGTTTGGAAGCCACATGGAGCCTCGAAGCTGTAGGTTTGCCACCTATGGTATCTTTGTTTACATTCTTTCAATCTTCTGATTGAACATGCTTCTTTTAATTTACAGAAATGTTCCCTAACTGCTTTGTTCAAATCGCACTTTTAGAAGCTGTTCAACTTTTAAAAACCAGTTATATTTATTTTTAGTTTAATTTGAATGGTTCACAATTCAATTAGTGTCTTGAAGCATTCATTTAGCAAATGATTGTTACTGAACAAAGATTGTATAAATTTCTATTTTATTTCTTTTTTTATAAAATATATTTATTATAAATTAATTTATGAAGTTTTTCAAGCAGTGAAATCTTTTTAATCTTAGCATCCAATTCTTTTTAGGATTACATTTTTTTAAATTCTTCATTTAATAATGTAATGTATTCTTAATTTTTTGAGGCTCATTACTAGCTTTTTCTATTTTCTATTGTACTTGAATAATAAAACCTTGATAATTTTATATATTTGTATTTATTTCAAGACTTTCCATTCCTCCTGCGGCCTACACTCCATTATAGATGTAACATTCAAGTGGGCAGAATAATTGTTTTTCTCAATACCTAGCATCTCAGCATTAACTGATAATCCTCATTCAACTAAAGTATTCTTTGGCTAAAATTAAGCTGTTAAATAAATATGAGGATTTAATTCAAAAATCCGGCTAAAATATCTGAGCTGTAATTAGTAAGAAGCACTGTTGACATTTAACCCACTACCTTACAAAAATGATCTAGTCTTCACTCAAATCTTTTGTATATTTTGCATATCTTGGATTAAATATTGAAGAACACTCCAATTAGAAGGAGATGGTCCGGCGTGGAAGTCATAAAAATAATAATTCTAAATATTATATTCATAATTAAGTATATTATCCATCCATTCTCATTATTACATTAAATTTTTTCCCCATTTACTAGTAATTGTTACCATTTATTTACAACAGTTAAGGATCTTGTTACTTAGTTATACCAAGTTTACTCTGTTTATGTAGATTATTTCTACATACTTTCTATCCACAGTTTATAAGTTTATTCACATTGTTTATAATTTGTATCTAAATATTATGTAACTTCCACATATTCTATATCCTTTTGTATCTTATTCATTCTAGCCCTGAAGAAGAACTGCAAAGTCGGATCGAAATGTTGGCTTGAAATAAAATAGTTTTCTTTAATTTATTTTTAGTCTTTTTATACCACCTTAATTTCTCTCTAAAAGATAGAACAGTCAACCATCAATTATTCAATACTCTAATACTCTAACGGAAGTCAACTTGGCAACACGCATTTCTGCTTGTGATTCATTTTGGAAATGGCAACATAACAACCCATTTTTGGAAAGGTTGGTAACAGAAGATGAAAAATGGATATTTTACGATAATGTAGTCTGTAAAAAATCTTGGGGAGCCTAGTAGTGAGGCTCGGAGAAGAATGTCAAAACCCGGATTGCATCTAAAGAAGTTAATGAAAAATATTTCCATATGGTGGAATTATTTCATGGGTGCTATTTTCTGTGAGCTATTGCCATCAGAACAAACAATTGATTCAACTCTATACTTTTCACAATTAACAAAATTAGATCAATAAATTAAAAATAAACATCCAGAACTGGCAAATCGAAAGGATGTTGTTTTCCAACAAGACAAAACTAGGCCCCACACTTCATTGGTCACCCGCAATAAATTATTGAGCCTTGGATGAGATCTTTTGCCCCATTCTCCCTATTCACCAGACATAGCTCAAAGTTACTACCACTTATTCCGGTCTCTGCAGAACTCCATGAATGGAAAGAAATTCCAAAAGGAAAAGTATATCAAAAACCACTTGGATCAGTCGATGGTCAAATGACATACATCAATCAAAAAAATAGTTATTCTGACAGAATCAGCAACTGCATGTAAACACCTAAAATTACTCTATCAAAATAAAGCACTTACACACATTTCCTTTAAAATCATATCACTAATACACAATGCCAGCAACAATTACATTATCTAGTGGGTGCTTGGACACATAGAAATATCAGGAAATGAAATGACAGAAAACAGCGAATCAAAACCAACTAAATCGGATAAATGCTATGGTTCCTTTACTGAATTTGATAAGAGTAGTGAGAGAGAAAATAATGAAAAACTGGCAGCATTTCTTCGACTGGGAATGTGCCTAAAATGGTAAGGACCATCATACAGTTCAACAGAAGACAGCACTGGTCCCATGGTTTGCGACTCTTAAATTTCATCTTGACCTCTCCAGCTTAGTAAAGATCACCAGGCTTAGGATAAATCATGGTAGAACTAATAAATATCTACATCTAATGAGTATAGCTGAGAGCCGTCACTGTCCAACATGCCAATGCTTGGAGGATCCAAGACAAATTGCCTTCAAGTGCAAAAGGTTCAAGAAGTGAAGAAGAATTAGTTTAGGATCGCAAACTACGAATGATGAAGCTAACTTTCTTCGGTCGATGAATAAAGACAACGCCCGTGATTCGATAGTTTTTGAATGACATAACAGCAGTTATATAATAAAAGTCGCCTTTTATTCTTATTTAATTGTTATGAAAATACTGTTACTTCAGTTTTTAACTATCAGTCTTTCTTGTTCAAGTTCTATATAGGTTATATTCAATAATCATATACCTAGAAATATCCAGTAGATACCCAGTTTAATTTCATCTTACTTTCATGAATGATGTCATTTCTGGATCCTTGGTTTTTAGTTTTTCTATCACATGCTATTATTAGAGCATTAGATGCTGTATTAAGTCCAAAAACAAGCCCTACCGAGATTCGAAAGGAAAGTGCTTCACAGAAAAAATGGAGGTGTGTGAGAGCAGAACTCCTATCTTGGAGATGTACTACATAGCACTATGTATAAATACTTAATGTCATTACTTTCATCAAATTCATATGACTCCGCTGGACTGGTCATGTTATTAGTATGAACCAGGATGAGAACCCACTAAAAATTTTGTCCGTCTTTATGGTACAAGGCGAGCAGGATGTCCGTAGCTTCATTGGGAGCATTGTGTGGCTACAAACTCTATAAAACTGCTTGGTTAAAGGAATTGGCAGGCAGTGCCATGCAATAGGGAGATCTGGCAATATTGTTGAAGCAGGCTATGACTCATCAATTGGGTCCTGATGGCAGATATGAAGGGCTGCAGAGTACGAACACCTTCCCTCACTGAGCACTTCAACCAAGGGATGTTAGTATCAAGAAAGGTCTGGAGTGAGGCTATTTCTCGGAAGAGAGAGTTGACACAGGCCTTCACCCCATCCAGTTGTCCCAGTTGTTTTTGTGATAAGTAGTTACAAGTCTGTCCTTTAATTTAATTGTATGATTTTTCATGTTTAGAAAGTTTATAGAACAATTTTGTTAATAACCAACTTCTTTACCTTCGCTTGCATATATATAATAAAGGGGAGTATAGTGATAATATAATCATAATCAGTAGTGAATCCAGGATTTAATTGACAGATGAGGATTTTAAATAAAAATCTTAAAATATAAAAATTAAGAAAAATTTTATATCAAATAAATTCTTAATATCAACATTCACTGTTAATATAAACAACAGTGTTATAAAAATAATAAGGTTTTTCATAAACACCATGAAATAAAATAATTAACTTCCTTAAAACTAGAATAGATAGAAAAATAACCATTAAAAATATTGAAATAAAAGCAAAATTACAAAAAAATAAATAAATAAAACAAGTAAATAAAAATTTAACCACATTTGTTAAAAAAATAGAAAAAAAAAATGTACTCCTCACTAAACTTTGATCTTATTAAGGAAGTTTTGAAAGGATAAAGGATCGATAGAAAAGGTATCTTTCTTTATTTGTTTAAATTTCAAATGAAGTCTCTTTAAGACAGATTCCAATCTTTTAAATGCTCCAGGGAGAGTCTGATCAACTTCTTTTAAGAGGGCTGGAATACCTAAGTCCTTATTGTCGAGGTAATCTTCTAATACTGCATCCTGAACCAAGCATTTCACAAACACATAACTAATAAATGATATTTGAAGATGATTGAAATATTTAACAAACAAAATTTAATTTTATGAATTCTTGAATAATCAATTAACAGTAAATTTACAGACAAAATGACCAACAATATTTTCTGAAATTACTGAAGTTGTATAAAATAAAAACAAATAAGAAATCATATTGATAAATCAGTAAAATTCAAAGCGAATTAAGATAAAATTCCAAAGGTGTGTTATTAATTATAGATTTAAAAACAAAAAAAAATTTCAAAGTAATTAACAGAACAAAAATGATAAAATGTGGCTGAAAACTGGATGAAGTAGTTCATCATGGCCTACAGCATTGATCATTAACTATTAAAGAGTTAAAAATAAATAAAGGAAGTATCTTTAAAAATCATAACTTAAATTGAAGGACCTGACAAAGATTATCATACCAATCAATAACTACCATATGATAGGAAAAGTCCAAAAGTATTTTTTATCTACATTTTTCAGTTAATATAATAATAAATATGAAATTAAATTAGAATAATAAATATGAAATAATCAGGCTGGGTAAATCAAGTACTAAAGTCTTTTTTCATAATACTGCCACAAAGTACGATATAATTATTCAAATCTTTTACATTTATAAATAAACATATATATTACCTTGAACCTAATTTTAATTTGATAGTTGCTAGAATCAGATATTTTCTCCTTAAATCTTGCCACCCATTCTAAGATATATACAATTATTTCTTCTTCAGTATGAGACCTCAAAAGTATTATTACATTTTCATTTGCCTGAAATAATGGTAAACTTGAAATTATTAAAAATATATATTTCATACAATATAAAATTGATATTTAAAGTTAAAACATTGTTTTTAAAGTTAAAACATTGTTTTTAAAGAAAATAGTATCAACTATTTTGTCTAAAACGGCATTAATATAAATGATTTTGTGTTAGACTTAATTTTTATGTATAATCTTATATTAGTAATAAGAAATTTCCTGTGTTTTAGATTAATTATAATAATAACCTTTATTTATACATACAGTTAAAAATATATATATATACTTAAACTTAACATTTTGATTTATACCTAATATTCACATATGTACAAAATCAACATTTTAAGACCCTTCTGCAGACCCCATATCAGAAAAAGAACTATTGTATTTTATATTCTGTAAATGCACTACAGATGAAATAGTATTTTAAACAATGTCATTGTCTTGATTAGGTGGATTTTAAATACTTTTTCAAAATAAAAAAAAAAATTAAAGTTTACATTTAGTTAGAAAATTTCACTTAATTTCCTTAGAAACATATGATTTACATTAAATAATGTTAGTTTTCAAAAATTATTATTTATATTTGTTTGTCACTATACGTTACCTTCTACAACTTTATTAATTAAATATTAATTTTTCTAAAATTCCCCGCTTTCCAACGATGTATTATACCTATACCTTCTATTATTTCTGGAGATTCATTTTCTACCTGGATAAGCATTTTTCTTTTTTTCTCCTTTATTCAATTATCAAATTCTTATTCTTATTCAATATTTAGCATTTTTCCGTAACTTCAAACAATGAGAGATAATTAATTATTTTAAATAAACCAAATTACAGGTACTTTAGAGGAAGACATGTTGAACATTAGGAATTTAAGCCCTATAAAGTGATATCAATGTGTATAAGACCTAAATGATTTTAAAGACCACTTAATTATACAAAGCTACACCTAGTTTAATCAAAATCGTTGGAGCCATTTTAGAGAAAATTGTAAAAATGTGTATGGCCGTTGATATAAAATAGCACTTCTGGTTAGCCGATTTAACAAAAAAGTTGTTGTCACATCTCAGCCATATACAAACCTTAAATATGTAATATCAGTTTCGTAACACTTTTCGTTTTCGAGCTAGACTGTTCACATACACACTCACAGACTATTTTGCGAGACTTGGTTATTTGGACTCAGGGAACCTCAAAATGTGTATTTCTGTTGAAAAATAAGATTCAAAAATGTTTACGACCACAATACGTTTCCCTTACAATATATTACGTATATAGGAAAGTGACAGTAAAAATGTATAATTTATAACTAAATTTATTTATTATACATGAAAGATAATAGATTACAAAATGATTTGAATAAAAAAATCAACAATATATTACAATAAATTACATATATAGGTAAGTGATAGTAAAAATGTATAATTTATAACTAAATTTACTTATTATACATGAAAGAAAATTGATTACAAAATGAGACAAAGTGAGAACACCAATTATATTGCTCTATCGAAATATAATTGGTGTTCTCAGCTAAAAGTTTGTTAGATACTACTGGGGAAAAACAATTTTAAAAAAACTCCATGCAGAATAAAGGAAGTAAAAAAAAAATTGTTTAATTTTTTTTTTGACAGTTAAATGATTGCATCAATATTTTTTTGTTAATAAGATCAATATAATGTACCATAATGCCCTTAATGCACTATAATTATGCCATGTATGAGTACTGAAAGATGTGGCAAAGGTCTGTAGGCACCTACACCAGAACCGCTTTTCCGCCAATTAAGTACATTTTCTACAAAACTGCTTCAAATATTTTAAAAAGTTATCAGTGTTTTAGAAAGAGTTTTTGTGAGAACATTGGCTTTTTTTAATAAACAGTTACAAGGAACACAACAATATGCAATTTATAGGGATGTAGGAGGAGTGCACTGTAGGGGGTCTGACCCACCGTGTACAAGAAGTGGAAGGAGTAAAGGCAGGGCTGAAAAATAATAATAATAATGAAAAATAAAAATTATATAATCGTTTCTGGTAGTTAAATTATTGCATTAATATAGACTTGTTAAGACTTTCAAAATAATACACCAAAAACGTTTCTGTACCACCACACATAAGTTTCTATTTAGTTGCTTAAACATTCTCTGTTGATAATTATAATTATTAATTTTAATTCTAAATTATTAATCCTGCAAGGTTAATTAATTAACTACTAGGAACTCCTGGAACCTACACTTATATGTTATATAGGCAAGACTAAAAGTTCCACAAAAAACAGTAAATACAAGAATCAAAATGTGATCTAAAATCAATAAAAATTTGTTTCTAAAACTTAGTAGTAGGTCCACAAGTCCCCGAATTCTGTATATTTTTATCCTTTTTTGGATTTATAATATTTATTTCTTTTGTATTTTTTCAAACATTTCAAACATCTAATTTTAGATTTTCAAGATGTAAAAAAAAGTTTCTTAAACTTCTAAATGACCCGACCCTTAATGATCATATTATCCCGATAATGATAATGATCATAATATCCCCGATAATGATCATATTATCCCGACCCTTAATGACCATTTTATGATACACTACTAGTGACTAATCTTAATTTATATTGATAAATATATACAAAAAATGTATATAAAATAATACAAAACCCAAAATTAAATTAAATTTGAGGATGTTTACTGAATGGAATTCTCTGCAAAATATTTTAAAGGAATAGGCTTTTATTCCTGCCCTCATAACAGTGGGTGGAAATTCTACAGATATAAATTAATGTTGGTCTAAGACAAAGAAATACATTTTATACAAACTTTTTTCCCTTCCTTTGCCATTTAGGCTATACGGGATTTCCCCGGGCCGGAGGGTGAGGGCAGGGAATTTAAAATCTCATCCGGCACCGGGACACAAACTCGTACTTATTTTTGTTTCTCAAAACTTCGTATAGCTGGTTGCCGGGCAACTCACAGTGCTGTGCACACGCTTTATCCCATTCGGCCACCCCGCCCCCAGACATTTTATTCAACCAACTTAAATGCTTTGCTATCACGATAATGAATAATAAATAATGTTATAATATATTATATAGCTCCGTAAGATTTGTAATTGGGACCCCGAGATGCTCCCGTGTCTCCGACCACTACACTGAGTTAGGGGTGGCTCTTTCCCTCCTTAATATTTTCTAGGCACATTCCTATATCAAACCATTAACAATCATGGTCCTTCTAATGCCTACAATCATCGTCCTTCTTATACCTACAACCTTCTCCAATTTAAGTCATCAATCCATTCCCTCACCACAAGATTTCGACCTTCTGGCCTATACATCTCTTCTCATAGATCTGCCTCATTCCAAAATTCCTTTGTAGCCCTTTCTATCAACTTCTGGAATTCCCTCCTTATCGAAATTCCGCATGCTACCTCCGTATCCACTTTCAAAAACCTCCTATTCCAACAATTTCCAAAAACAGTCAGATACCTGCTAACTAATGGCATTATTTATGTATTGCATAGAGATGACATAATGATACTCTATTTGGTAGGCATAATGCATGTATTTCCTACTTTCCACGCCACTCACTACATCTATTTTTAATTTTTTTTTTCAATTATCACTAATTTTTTTTATATATACAATTAAAGTTTTTTTTTATGAAAAGAACTTATTCTATTTTGTCTCTTTTTTGTTCTTCATTTCTTTAACTGTATATTTATGCTTTTCAACCGTTATATATAGTTTTAAATGTTTTGTTCATAGTTTTAAGTTTTTTGCTCATTGTTTTAATTAAGTGTTTTGTTCATAGTTTTAAGTGTTTTGGACATAGTTTGGTATATAGCTTGTTCACTTAAGGTTTTCATCATTACTTTTTAGTTTTTTTTTTTTTAATTTTATTTATTGTTTCAAACTTTTAGGTCAGTAGTAGTCTTTTCTTTTTGTGCAATTTTGTTATTTTAAAGGGACTTTGTCCCAGAATAAAGTTTTTCTCTATCTATCTATCTATCTATATGGGGGAATAAATGGCTAAATAAAATAAATTTATTATTTTTTCTTTCCTTGAAAAGTTTCTTCTTTTATTTATATATATATATATATATATATATATATATATATATATATATATATATATATATATATATATATATATTATGTAACTTCCTTATGACTGGAGTTTATTTTTTTATTTCTTATATCTGCTGGAAATTTCAAGTTCTACCCATCATCAGGAACATATTATCTATAGTCGCAGCTTTGTCTCTTTCCTTTTTTTTTTGTAGTAGTTGACTAATAATAATAAACTGAATGAATAGTTCCTCACTATGTATCATTATAGAAAAAAAATAAATCAGTTTTACCTACATAACTTCAAAAAGAGCACAGCAAAAAAAATTCCCTGTAAATTAAATTATTGAAAAATCCCAAAAAAAATTATTGAAAAATCCCTGTAAATTTCTCGTTTTTTTTCTGTACATGAGGAATTCCTGTACAGTTCCCAGTTTTCTTGATGAAATTCCCATATGCAGGACACCGTGTACTTTGAGGTTGCTACCACGTATTAACCAGAGTGTGATTATCAAATCAAGATTCATTTGTCAAGGCCAATGATAAATAAACATTAACTGACCCAGATGGAAATCACACAGCATTCAGAAACGGGGACTCTTCTTGCCCCAACCAACTCAGCCATTATGTCCTGAATCCTCATATCTAAAAAAATGAATGGACAATTGAACAAATTGATTTAAAACTAATCTCACCTCTATAATTGGATAAACATATTCATTTATGGCTTTATAAAAGATGTCTTTTATAATAGCACGTTTGTGAGTTCTATATGCAAGAATAATCAATGCTCTATAGGTAAGACCACACAAAGTCACGTTATTATCCTTTGCCATTACACGCATATACAATTTCACTGCTGTCTCAGGATATTCTTCAGTCTGTTCGAATAGCTTGTATAACAATACCTCAAAAAAGTTACCAATTTCTGAAAATTAATCAAAAGATTATTGAATAAGGAGATGATTTAAATTAAACAATTTTTAACAATTATTAAAAAATAAGGATGATTTTCTAAAAATGGGTACATTGTCTCTAACATCTCTAGAGACAAAATTTTAAAATCAAAAGTTTTAGCCTTTAACAATTTTTTGAATTCCATGAAAGTAATAGGCTACAATTTCATTAATATTTTATTTTTGAAAGAACTAAATATTAGCATTTTAATTGATCTTATACCACCTATTTTTTCATATCTTCGGCTATTCCAACATTGCAATTTTTTACATTAAACAATTTATGTAAGGATAATGACAAGTGTAAGCAAGAAGAGCCAACCAATCACAGCTTGTATTTGATGCAGAAATAATATTGCACCAATGCAGAAATATGAGCTCTTCACTTCCATATATAATGGATGTCTGGCTGAATTTCATGACCTAAGAACCATTCTTCTACACATTAAAAATGATGGACAATAATTTTCACGATGCGTGCAGCAGTAGGAGCCATTACTACATTACAGAGAGAACTTCTAGGACTTTTGGCGGATTGGTGGGGTCATTCATTTTCAAGCAAGTGGGCTAATAACAATATTATGTCATAGAGACATTTATAGGGTGATCTGTGCTAAACCACAGTAGTAGTTTTATCCTTACTGGAGCAATCAAAGATTGAATTATTGGGAATTCAGTGGGTATTCAGCAGAAACATTTTGACAAAAAAGATTTTTTGATGACCTCTTATATCTTAGCACCAGTAGTAAACTCAAAAACAATCTTAAAGGTACAATAGATTCATGAAAATTTAAAGTATAAAACGGCTCCATAAGTTTAGTGGTTCCTAAAATACTTGTCAAAAAAAAAAATCACTTTTTTGGGCTTGTACTCCGCCAAAATCCAACAGTCTCCTTCTCATGACTTTCCTCACGTGGAATACATGTTCGTTGAAATTTTCTCTATTACCTCTCCTCTGTTATATGCCGTAGTTTACCGCCCTCTATTCAACAAATTCTTTGAATCATCCCTTGTCAACTGGTTTCCCATTACAACAATATTATTATCACCGACGATTTTAATGTGAGTATGCTTTCATAATTACCTGAAAAACACTTTCTAACTGACCTACTGTTTTTCCTTTAATCTTTATCTTGTTCCTTATTCACCTACCCATCACACTCAATTTTCCAACACTGGGTTAGACCTCTACATCTTTGACTCTCACATTAAAATCATCTCCTCTTCTTGCTTGAAAATGAATGAACCCACCGATCCGCCAAAAGTTCTAGAAGTTCTCTCTGTAATATAGTAATGGCTTCTGCTGCTTCATGCATCGTGAAAATTATTCACTTATAATAAATATATACTTTATTATAAATAAAGTATTATTATTATTATCACTGCCTAAAATTTTAAAATGTAATCATTTCAACCTAAGCCCATATAGAGAGCCTTATTTGACCAATGGAGCTTAGTTAGGACACTCTTGGTCCAGGACATAGTTGCTTTATCTAAATATATATTATCTATATATTTAGATAAAGCAAAAATTGATATGGAATAAAATTTCAAAATTCTCAAATAATTGTGTAATTCGTAATGGAGTTTAATAAAATAAGTGGGCATTAATCAAGTATATTACCTATTGGTTCAGTTAAACTGTTTTGAACTTCGAGGACAGCTTTGAATAACATAGTAGCAATATTGATAATTTTCTTATTTATAAGTTCATTTAATAAAAATACTATCATAACACCTATTATTTGGAAATCATCTTTACTTCCACCTGGAATAATCCACTGTACTGAGTCAGGATCTATTAACCTTGTATCTGAAAAAAATTAAAACAGATTAAACTATATGGTTTTTACCTAAATATACACCATGGTAACTTATTGGGTAGGTAAATAAAAAGTATTAATGTTCCATCACAAGAAAATTTTCTTGACATATCAATAAGCTTTTTATTTGTTTATTTTATAATTTATTTATGGTTAGCTTCAGTGATGTTTGAAGTGCAAATTTTATAGTTTGAAGTAAAAAAAAAAAAACTTTAAAGCTTGATTGTATCCTGTAATTCCTTATTTATTAATTCTCAATAGTTCTTGGCATATTTGTGGAACGTAATTAATGTCCACTAAAAGCATGTGTGTAGACCTAGATTTGACATTTTCAAACAGTTTCCAATCCTTTTATAAACTGTTACACATAACATTTCTGAAGTTAACCATTGATACAACCTTTCCAACTATTTAGTGTTATATAACAAGGAACCGAAAATATTCAAATAATTAAAATACTTCATTGTAGAATATTTAACTTATTTTTATAGTCATTAGTACTTGTATGAAAACTTACATTGTAATAGAAATTTTGTTGTCCTCAGTATGGCATAGAATAAGGTAGTTCGAAAAACTACAGCTTTTTTGGGCAAATAGTGGAATAGCCCAGCAGTAATCTGATCATTTCCAATGGATAATTTTGAATAATATCCAGATTTCTTGTAAATAAGGTAAAAACAGGAGGTTTAAGTCAGTGGTAGGGGGGTCTCGAGAGAATCTAGTAATTTTCAAAGCTTAGTTAATCTGTATGTGGTGTAAAAACAGCCAATCAGTGGTCTGCAAAGAGTTTAAATCTTTAGTCTAAGATCCGTTGTGGTACAACCACCTCACAATGCTTTAGTAGCTCTTAAGTTTATCTCCATAAGCTTTCATCATGTGGACTGAGGTTATTTATAAATGTAACGTAGTTTGAATTTCTGTATTTGTCTTTTTAGTTCATTACTTTTTTGGTAACAGGTAGGGATGGTGTGGGTATGGGTGTTTGTGTGTGTGTGTGTGTTTACAGCCTAGCTCAAAAATGATAAGTTGCACATAACTGAAATTACACAATTAAGGTAGGTATAAGACTGGGATGTTACAGCAAATTATTACTTAAAATCAGTGAACTGGAAGTACCACATTATATCATCAATTTTACAATTTTCTTGAAAACGGCTCTAATGATTTGCATTAAAATCTATATATCAATGTAAAATGGTCTTTAATATCAGATAGGTCTTATCCTTCTTGGTGTCGCTCAACAGGGCTTAAATGCCTAATATTCAAAATTTCTTCTTCCAAAGTACCTTTAATTTGTTTTATTTTAATTAATTAATAGTCTCTCATGGTTATTAATAATTCACTATGAATTTCTAGAAATAATAGGCAGAAGGTATGTTATATGTGTAAAATCTGAGGATTCAGAAAAAAATAATATCTAACATACTAAGTTATAGAAGATAATGGAGAGCAATGTAAAAATTAGAAATAATAATTTCTGAAAATTAATACTATTTAAATCTGTTTGCTATTAATTAAAAACCTATGGCAAATTTCGAATTAAAAAAAAACTTAATTTATTCAGTGATTTCACCGATTTTTCTTGGTGAATTCACTGCATTATCGCCTATGGGAGAATCAATTCTCAACCAGCCACACAATCCAAGACGAAAAATGTTGCTCAAGCGGCTCAGAAAATCAATACATCCGAAACCGCTAAGTCTGTACCTATTAATAATGCGTCCAGTAATCCGAAGAAATCAATTAGTGAGGCTGGATCTAATAATGAAGATGAATGGCATCAAGTTCCATGTAAGTCTCCGAGGCCTGCCTCATCTTCAGCATAAACCAGACAGATAAGTTTTGAATCAAAAGCTCAAGTCATTTGGGCAGGACAGGCAAAAGAGAATCATCTTGTTTTAAGCCCGAATGAACCTCAAACTTTTCGGATAAATTATTTAAAGAGGAGCAAATGGACAGGATAATGGGAGGTCTAGTGAGGGAGATGGGTGCGGGAATCTTCCCTACTCTTTGCGTCAGTGCCATACCCACTGCTTGTGAGTTCCCAGATCTTATCCCTACCAATGCTTACTGTCACCTCCATGTTGTGCTCCCCCCGGGAAGTCTGATGGGACTCGCGAACTATAGAGGCAGGGTTAGTCGATTCTATCCATATATATGTAAATATATTGTAACATTTCTCTTATATTTTTTAACTAGTAATATGACCTCGTGGAAGATCACTATGTAATGTTGGATACTCCCTAAATAAATAAGAGGTCACTAAATAATAAACAAAATTATAAGAGTATTAATATAATATATTAAATTGAAATTTATAATTATTTTATCTCAGGTGTGGGTTACTGACAATCAGATCAAAACACTCAGACTAACTATTATTATTTACACTATTAATACTAAAATTAAACACTGATTTTAAAATAAAGTCAAGTATGGATTGACAAGCTATAGATTCTCTTGCAGAGCCACGATATCCAAATTGTAACCATTTAACCTCAATCGCAACCGATTTTAACCCACCTGCTGAATTCAAACTCCTTACGTTCCATGTACCAATATCTAAATCTCTATTTTTCAACTTGCATTATGAATCCCCTAAAGCAGTCCTCACCCGGACCTAAACAGGGGACTAGCTTACCGCTGGATAATGAGTGTTTTACCTTAGGAAGATCCATGACTATTTGTGTTTATGATGAATTAAAGATATGTAAGTAGGGCATTCAATCCTACGTCACACCCTTCAGTAAGTCTGGAGAGCCCCTCTCATTGTTGGTCAGCGAGTCATTCGAAGTTAGCCGGGAGGAACTTCCAAGGAATTTCCACCGACCATCCCCCCATTCGCTGCCCGTGGGACGCTCTCCACACGAGGAGCCCACATGAGGTGATACTACAATAACTACAGTCATATTGTATGGCTGTTCAACTGTGTTGACTTGCTGAATCACACAGTATTCTCATCTATTTTCTTTGTACAGAAATTTTGGCCTTAGTTTCAGGCCTTTATTATTAGGGCTAAGCAAAGATAAGATATCAAATAAATACTGTGAAAATAATAATAATATTTAAGTAAAATAATAAAGTGAAATAATATGTAGGTAGTGGAATGGGAAACATAAGATGTATAAATTTAAGAAGTTATAAAGTAACTGCAACAAGGTTGGGACTTATAAAATATTATGAGATACCAATTGTAAATGGTAAAAAATGAATAAATAAAATGTCGTAGTTACTAAAATTTATATGTTCAGAGGAAGTGAGATAAACATGGAATAATAATGAAAAACAAAGAAAAGGAATATGAAGTTGTATGAAAAAAATAATTAATGTAAATAGAAAATAATAAGTGAAGAGAAGGATGGTTGGGGTGATCAGTCAAAATAAAAATAGCAAAAATAAATAATATTTATTTTCACATATAAACTTCAATTTTATTTTTAAAATTAAAATAAAAAGTGTTTTTAGTATATTAGTAGTGAAATCTATCAAACCATACCATAGACATAGAAATGAATTGAAATATTAAGTTGTATAAATTAAGAGAATAAGATACAAAGAATAAATGTACAATAATAAACAAAATAGTGGTATAGATATGGAATAGAATAAAGAGACAAAGGTAAGTGGAGTGAATAAGAAAACTAAATGAAAAATAATAGGGCCTGCTCATACAAAGGGATTTGGATGAGTAGCGACAATAGGGAACAACAGTGGTCTGCAACAGCTGATGCTAAAACTCATAAACTAAAGCACAGAAAGATGTGTAATGGTTCAGAGGTGGACTAATTTCATACTTGACTATTATATAAATTGTGGATTGATAATGGTTGACTGTAGGAAATAATTGAAGAGAAGAATGGTTTGGGGTGATCAGTCAAAAAAATAGTTAAAATGAATAATTGTATTTATTTTTACATTTGCAGACGTATCGGCCCAAAGTTCAGGCCTTCATCAGGGCTGATCAAGTGAAGAGCTGTCACGAGACCCTTGGTCTGTGATGAAGGCCTGAATTTTGGGAAGAAACGTCGACAAATGTAACAATAAATATAATTATTTATTTTAACTATTTTTTTTTATTAATAACCCCAACTATTCTTCTCTTCGACTATTATTTAATATTTATTGTAAAATAATACATTGTATGTTTGAAATTTTAATGGTATATGGTACACAGTAGTCCAAATTAATGTTTTAAAACCAATATATTTTTGAAGATAACAAGAATAAAAACAATTATAATATATTAAACTAATTAGATTAAATTGTGGTATTTTAACCAATAATATAACTTACTGATAAAGACACCAATAGATTCCTTGTATCTTCCATTGTAGTAGTGAATTTCAGAATAGACAACAGCAAGCCTAACGGGACGCAAAGTTCCATCAGTTAAAGACTATAAAATGAAATACATATAAGAGAACTATTAATTTTAACATAAGCCTAATAAATTCTTAAAATATAATAATCAATATACAATTCCATCATAAGTGTGTAAAAATAAAGGCTGTATGGGATGTCAACTAGACCTGATTCCAGCAGCTATGCTGATTACATCGTTAAATTAATAGCTGTTTTATAGTAATATTAGGGGAACCAGAAAGTATTGTCGTTTTCTTACATTAAATTCAAATACATAAATTTCAAACAAGTTTTTTTTTTTAAATTATTTATGAACAATGCCTCATCTGTTTGACAATTGCAGGCCACTTTTTAATTAAAGATTGATTTACACGATCTAACTGTTCACAATAAAGGTCTGCAATCACAGTTTGTCCAGGTTTCAGCACTTCAAAATGTGCAATGCCGGGAATACTCTAGCAAACACAAAAGGGTCTTTTGGAAGTGTAAATCTGGCTTAGCAGTACTTGTTGGTGATTCTTTTGGAGAGAGCCACTTGCCTTAAGCACTTAAGATTATCATACAGGACCCATTTTTCATCTCCAGTGATCAAGTAGTCAAACAACGCTTCTGCACTGTACCGTTGAAGCAATAAGTTGCATATGGTGGTTTCCCAATCCACTCCAAATGTTTTTGGATGGTCGACCAAGGTTGGTTAAGACTTAGACAATTCCTCTATCCTCTGACATGAATTTGCTTTGACTTCCACCCTTAATACGCCATTATCTTTTGTTTTCATCCTGATCGATATAAGTCGGAAAGATCAAAATTACTGGATTTGAATTTGAAAAACCACCTTTGGCATTTACGAACATCTAATGCATTTAGATAAAAATAACAAATGTTTTTGGTAGCAACTGTTGAGTTACTATCCTTACGAAACTCAAAAAACATGCCATGCCAGATATGTACCTCTTCTGGTATTTGGCTAGCCATAACACCAAAAAAAAAAAAATTTAATTTAATCATTTGCAACTAAAGATGACACCATAACCTTAGAATGTTTTTGCCATAACATAGACGTAGGTACACAATGAGCTGTCAAACGAAAATCAAATAGTGAATGCTCAGAAACGACATTATTTTCCTGTCCTCCTAATACAACTACAATTATTAATCTTGCCATTCAATGATAAGAACACCTCGATAATTATAATAAGCTATGGTTATAAATTTTCACCTTCAATTTGTACTTGTTAACATGGTTCTCTTCTAACAAATTAAAATAATTATTTGCCTCCTTCCAATTAAATTGCTTCACAGAATCCAACATCAAAGTGACAACAATATTTCCAATTAGGTCTTTTGCTTCGTCAACATATTGTGCAAAGCCTAAAGAGAAAAACATATTTTAAACTTATATTTTTCTTAAGTAGAAAATTTTTTAGATAAAAAAATCTTTTTCCTAATAGAAAATTAATTTTAAATCCATAAAATTGATCTTTCCCCTCTGGCTTGAATAGGTCAGTACCATCCATAAAAGTGGTTTTTTAGCTAGTGTTTTGTGGAACAGAGGTATTCTAAGAACCACTGCCAGGTCTTCCAAAAAATAATTTATTAATTTATGAAGAAGAAATAATCCACATAAAACTAATTTTAAGATTTATATTAAATAAACTACACATTTTTTATTTCATGAACTGGATTTTCAGTTTCATTTTTAATGCTTAAGATATAAATATTATGTTTTACAAGAACTTTTTGTATTTATAAGGCCAGGATTGAGCAAAAAACGTCAAAACTACACTTTCTAATAAACTTCAACTTGAATGCTGCTGTCAAGATGGTAATACCTACTTCCACTTTAAGTACAAAATATTTTGTAATATTTTTAAGTTTAAAGTATGCAAACAAAATCAATACTTTAAGTCATATCAGTGGTATTTTTTTTGTTTCTAACAAGGGCAGATTGCGGATGTGGAGTCACCAATTTCAATGAAACTTTTTTGGGTGATACTAGGTCAAAAACTATTTGATCCATGTTTGAGAGTTTTTGCAAATGCACCCTAGGAGCCAAGAAATTTTTTTTTTTTATAAAATTTATTTATTTTTTTATATTATTGTTTCCTGACTTTGCCATGCATAGATTTCTAAGTTATTTATATATCAATCAATTTGTTTTTTTGTTTTGTTTTTTTTGTAAAAGAAGAAAAACATATTGTTAATTGTATTAATTAATTTTAATGTATAATAAATTACAAAAACCCAAAGATACTTCCAGTAAAGTAAAAAAAAAATTCAGATTCGTTTTTAGCATCTACTAAAACTCTTAAATACGAGAATGTTTTAAAATAAAATATATAAATTTTTGGACTTAATTTTCTGGGAGGATTTTTTTTCATACTGCTTACTAAAATGAAATTGCTCAATTCGCTTTATCTTCAGGATCTCAAGGGATATGCATATTACCCAGTTCTACACCAAGTTGAATTGGCTCTATCCGTCCTACCGCCCTCAATATTTTCTGGCTACCTTCCCACACCGAGCTATTACAACATGGCGACCTGCCTATATTCCTATAATACAGATCCTACAATTCGATCGCTCCTTTCAATCCCATCCCACCAGATCCCGTGCGTTCAACCTCTATCCTGCCCTCACTAAACTGCTGCATTTGATAAATCCTTTTTAATAAAAGTTGTCTCCCTCTGGAACTCTATACCTTCAGATATTCAACACGCAAAATCGATATCCTTTTTCAAATCTCTCCTCTTCAAACACCTACTCCATTCCCAATCCGATTGATCACAAAATGCACTTAAAAACCTAAGCTGTAAAAACCTCAAAGTACACCCAGATACTCTGATTATTTTGTAATTCATCAATACTTCGTTCACTTAATTACTTTCTCTGTATATTTTATATTTACACGTATTTATATCTTTTTATCATTTATAACTTTATTGTACTCCGAATCAACCTGTAAATATTAAATTGTATTTCATGGACACACCAAAATATTGATATATATTCTGTATTTGTGACTTGTTCTAAAGGCACAATAGTCCCAGAATAATAAAATTATTTTCATTCATTCGAAAAATATTCATAACTCCTCAGGATTTTCTCATAAGTCAATCCAATCGTGAGAAAGATAAATTATTGCTCTTCAAAACCATATCAATAACTTCTGTTCATTTTTCCTACTTTTGGTGTCTTGAAGTTTTTTTATTTGTTACAATAAACTAAGCCATTTTTCACTAAAATTTTATTATTACGCATCAATTTGACATTTCGACCATATTAGGGTCATTTTCAAAACTTGATGAGTCCTCCTAATATGTTCATCATTAATGTTCTAATTAATATGTTCAGTGGACATTAACTTGTCATGCTATATAGGAGCTTCGCCCACGTCATTTCTGGAGGGACTCTATAATGAGTCCCTCCAGATGTTATGAAATACAAATCTCAATGTTGTTTTTCCTTTAAAAAATATTTGAACCCAATTTACTCCTAGGGTCAGTACTAATTGTTTTCATATTGTACTCACACTATAACTGTATTCCAAATATATATTTTTTTCTAGACCGGAGGGGTATCAAAAGTAAGATGAAATATATTTTTTTTTTATTAAATAAAGATGATATTCATTTTTCGCACACCATTAAAATCCTTGAATGTGAATTTTTGTTGCAATCAAAAATGTAAATAGTTTGCTCAATATTCTAGCTTCTATTAATAGCTCTTATCAGATCCCTCTATGTTAATAGCTTTATAGTAGATATTAAAACTTTTAACTACATATTTAAATATGAAGGAAATTTTCATTGCAATAGAAAAATACATGTATTTTGCTTTACTAATAGCTACTATAAATCTATAAACATAGATGGATCTCATAAGAGCTATAGCAGGGTGGTTACCAGACAGTTTAAGTAAAATTCCCTGACCAATATGTCTTGAGACAAAAATATTAAAAATGTATAATTTATAAATAAATTTATGTAATATACATAAAAAAAAAATTACTATTACTCTTGTTTGATTTCAGTATAATGACCAGTGCTGTTATTGACAGTCAAAGGTGAATGAATATAGCGCCCGTGGTTGTTTTATAAACACTATATTTATTTCCAATTTGAAAAAAAACATTTACGTACTAAAAAAATTCTCTGACTTCAACAACTTTTCTCATTTTTCAGGCCAGTCACTGCTCTGTATTAATAGAAGACGGAATATTGAGCAAAAAATTTACAATTTTAGATTTCAACGAAAATTCAAAATTTAAGGATTTTAAGGGGGTGCGAAAAATTAATATCATCTTTTTATTATCCAAAAAATATATACTTCATGGTGTAATAAGTATAATTCATGCTCTATTCTTATTTTCAGATCGAATTTTGACAATATACAAGATTTTGTGCATGTAATCTTATTTTCGATACCTGTCCGGTTTAGAAAAAGATATATATTTGACATATAGCTATAAAAATGTAGGATATACAGTCATGGTTTTTAAGTTTGCTGACATTTCAACCCAAGTATATGGGTCAGTCATCAACTGGACTAAAAAAAAAAAAAAAAAAAATTAGAACAAATAAAAAATTATTTAGTTGCTTGGCAATAATAACCTCCAATTATTAACAATACGAGTATATTTTTAACATTACATGTTAACAGTCTAATTTACGTTTCGGGACCTTTTATTCCCATCTTCAGAACTGCAATTCCAATACTCTTGTGGATGCAAGGCTTAATTCTAATGATAATAATAATGTGCTCCATCGTCAATTTTCTAATTTATGTTCTAAAATTTTATCATCTAGAGCAACATTCTCCTTTTGACCAATAATTGGGTTTCTGCCATAGTGAAAAATTGACCTTTGGATCTAACTGTTAGATAGACTATGGCAGAAACCCAATTATTGGTCAAAAGGAGAATGTTGCTCTAGATGATAAAATTTTAGAACATAAATTAGAAAATTGACGATGGAGCACATTATTATTATCATTAGAATTAAGCCTTGCATCCACAAGAGTATTGGAATTGCAGTTCTGAAGATGGGAATAAAAGGTCCCGAAACGTAAACTAGACTGTAACATGTAATGTTAAAAATATACTCGTATTGTTAATAATTGGAAGTTATTATTGCCAAGCAACTAAATAATTTTTTATTTATTCTAATTTTTTTTTTTTTTTTTTTTTAGTCCAGTTGATGACTGACCCATATACTTGGGTTGAAATGTCGGCAAACTTAAAAACCATGACTGCATATCCTACATTTTTATAGCTATATGTCAAATATATATCTTTTTCTAAACCGGACAGGTATCGAAAATAAGATTACATGCACAAAATCTTGTATATTGTCAAAATTCGATCTGAAAATAAGAATAGAGCATGAATTATACTTATTACACCATGAAGTATATATTTTTTGGATAATAAAAAGATGATATTAATTTTTCGCACCCCCTTAAAATCCTTAAATTTTGAATTTTCGTTGAAATCTAAAATTGTAAATTTTTTGCTCAATATTCCGTCTTCTATTAATACAGGGCAGTGACTGGCCTGAAAAATGAGAAAAGTTGTTGAAGTCAGAGAATTTTTTTAGTACGTAAATGTTTTTTTTCAAATTGGAAATAAATATAGTGTTTATAAAACAACCACGGGCGCTATATTCATTCACCTTTGACTGTCAATAACAGCACTGGTCATTATACTGAAATCAAACAAGAGTAATAGTAATTTTTTTTTTTATGTATATTACATAAATTTATTTATAAATTATACATTTTTAATATTTTTGTCTCAAGACATATTGGTCAGGGAATTTTACTTAAACTGTCTGGTAACCACCCTGCTATAGCTCTTATGAGATCCATCTATGTTTATAGATTTATAGTAGCTATTAGTAAAGCAAAATACATGTATTTTTCTATTGCAATGAAAATTTCCTTCATATTTAAATATGTAGTTAAAAGTTTTAATATCTACTATAAAGCTATTAACATAGAGGGATCTGATAAGAGCTATTAATAGAAGCTAGAATATTGAGCAAACTATTTACATTTTTGATTGCAACAAAAATTCACATTCAAGGATTTTAAGGGGGTGCGAAAAATTAATATCATCTTTTTATTATCCAAAAAATATATACTTCATGGTGTAATAAGTATAATTCATGCTCTATTCTTATTTTCAGATCGAATTTTGACAATATACAAGATTTTGTGCATGTAATCTTATTTTCGATACCTGTCCGGTTTAGAAAAAGATATATATTTGACATATAGCTATAAAAATGTAGGATATGCAGTCATGGTTTTTAAGTTTGCCGACATTTCAACCCAAGTATATGGGTCAGTCATCAACTGGACTAAAAAAAAAAAAAAAAAAATTAGAACAAATAAAAAATTATTTAGTTGCTTGGCAATAATAACTTCCAATTATTAACAATACGAGTATATTTTTAACATTACATGTTAACAGTCTAGTTTACGTTTCGGGACCTTTTATTCCCATCTTCAGAACTGCAATTCCAATACTCTTGTGGATGCAAGGCTTAATTCTAATGATAATAATAATGTGCTCCATCGTCAATTTTCTAATTTATGTTCTAAAATTTTATCATCTAGAGCAACATTCTCCTTTTGACCAATAATTGGGTTTCTGCCATAGTCGATCTAACAGTTGATCCATAGGTCTAACTTTTCACTATGGCAGAAACCCAATTATTGGTCAAAAGGAGAATGTTGCTCTAGATGATAAAATTTTAGAACATAAATTAGAAAATTGACGATGGAGCACATTATTATTATCATTAGAATTAAGCCTTGCATCCACAAGAGTATTGGAATTGCAGTTCTGAAGATGGGAATAAAAGGTCCCGAAACGTAAACTAGACTGTTAACATGTAATGTTAAAAATATACTCGTATTGTTAATAATTGGAAGTTATTATTGCCAAGCAACTAAATAAATTGACAACTACCCAGGAAAAAAATAAAAAATTATATCAGAAAAATGATACAAAAAAAAAACAAAAAAAAACCTGTACCTCTACAACCCATGAAGGGTCTGGGGTTCAGTACTATTTAGGGAAAGCACTGTTTCTAGGTCAACGCTTATGTAAGGAGGTGATTTGACCGATATTACGCTCAACCGCCAGGTTTTCCCCCTTAATTAATATTTTAATTAAGGATACCGACTTTATAGAGGCTGGGTGTGCCCCAGGAGGGTCTTTCGACGCAAGATCGCCCCACTGCCAATAAAACAGATAAATAAATTTTCTGCCATGAGCCAGGGTTCGAACCTAGGACCTTTAGCATTGGAAGCTCAGTACCCGACCACTGAGCTACCCCACTCCCTCCAGAAAAACGATACACAATAGATAAAAGCTCCTATCACAAGCAGAGAGGTGAATCTATTTTAGAGCATTTAGTAGCCTCAACATTGAGATTCCAAATATCTAAATTTCTAAATTTTGTCATAACTAAAAAATGTTTAATTTAGCTTACAACAAATTACTTCATAATAAACTAGAATAAATCTACATTGAATACAAGTAAATGTTGTCTATTTTAAAACCCTTAAAAGGGGACTTTTAAGCAGTTAAACTACCGTAAGTTCGGTTTTTCATAAAATCAAGGATTCTTCGAGATTTTTTTCATAACTTCCCAACTGGACTTAAGATACCACACTTTCAGAAAAACTTTCTTGTTTGATGAGCTTGAAATAATTATGAAAAAATATTATTAGTAAGGTAATATTAGGGATTGATCCCAATATTTTTACATCTTTCAACACAATTAGGGATGAATCTCAACTTACTCTGTAACAAACCGCTACTTAATTAATATATACACAAAGCTCATAACAAGGAAGTTTTTCTAGAAGTGTGGTATCTTCAGCCCACTTGGGAGATTATAAAAAAAATTGAGAAGATTTATTGATTTTATGAAAAACCGAACTTACCGTAGTTTAACTGCTTCAAAGTCCACTTTAAATGGTTTTAAAATAGACAAGATTTACTTTTATTTAATTTAAATTTAATCTAGTTCACTATGAAGTAATTTTTTGTAACCTAAATTAAACATTTTTTTTAGTTATTCCTTTTTATTTATGATAAAACGTGGTTGGCTTAAAAAATACTAAATTTAAGTTTTCTGGTTCTCTGTAAGTAATCAGACTTATGGTAATTTTTTATAAGTTTTAATGCATTCTGTTACATATTACGAGTTATATGAAATTAATGTCAATCTAAACTTCACATCATCATCTCAAAATTCCCCACTGATTGATATTGAATATAATTATGTTGTCAATGACTTTTTAGAATCATTCAAAAAAGAAATTTTGAATAATAATTTGGAGGATCTAAAATGTTAAAAAATTAATTAAACTTCAAAAAGGTATCGTCTACTATGAAAACATCAATTTTATGGTTTGAAGCAATTTTTGCAGTGGAAATACAATAAATATAATCTTATAAACATCTCCGTAACCATTGATTTTATCAGAAAATGTACAGGACTATTTTTGTAGAGATTTTAATATTATGCTGACCAATCTTTGCAAAAAACCTGACAGTTTTTGAGATATTCTTTTAAAAATATCATTTTTCTGTACTTCTTCCCCTCCCCCTATCAAAACCCAACACAGAATTTTTCGGGACTTTTTACTAGTTATTAAGGTGAAGGTAATAAATAATTTCTGATAAGTTTCATCTTTATTTTTTTAAGGCTGGGGTAAGGTTGATTTTTCCCGTAACTTTACTGGACTATTAATACATATGCATTTTCCTTTCCCATTTTTTTGGTTTGTCACATTATGTTCTAGTTATTTTGGTTTACGAAAAAATAAAATTAAATTTTTTTATTTCCCTCCATTAATATATTAGATTATTTAAGCTGTTTTATTGTATATTTGGAAATCAGGGTAACTCAGTGGGTAGGGCACTAACTTCCAAAGCTCAAGGTCCCGGGTTCGAATCCAACTGATGGCCGATTTCATTCATTCTGCTTCATCGGCCATGGATCGATCCTGGGTTCATGAGACATTCTTGGGGTACATTCAGCCTCTATAAAAATGAGTACTCTTAATCAAGAGGAAAAACCAGGTAGCTGAGCGAGATCTCAGCCAAATCACCTTTTTAACATTTTTTTTTAATTTTTATGAAATTGAATGATGAATCAGTCTTGATAGTTTCATTGTTTTTATGATCAATAGACGTGTAACATTGGTAGTTTCCATGAAAATTGGGTATAATCATCCATAAATTGTGGGAATTGTCTCTTTTATAGCACGTTCTAGCAGTTTTGGACAATTTTACTTAATTTAATTATGTATACAAGTCTTTTAAAAAAAAACTAATAGTTTTCTAAGAAAAGGTGAACAATAAAAAGAAAGTGTCAAAATTACTGTCATCAAATCTCAGATCTGTGTTCAGTGACCCGAAAAACAGACCATACCAAAATTTAAGACTACAACAAAACTTTCCTATATTTTTCCTACAAGGCCAACACTATACAGAAGCTTAAATTAAACATTCATATATTCATCAAGATGAATTTTAAATAATTAATAGAATAGTCACTTACTTGTCTTAAGTTTGGCAAAAATATTTTTCAATATGATAAATGAATTTTTATCCATAGCATAGTTGAAGACCAACAGCAAAACTTTGTTGATAAATACTTTGTTATATGAAGCGATTATTACTTTAACAATAGAATCATAATTTGAACATTGTAAGGCTCTTTGCATTGCAGCTTCCATTTTTTCCTCTTCATGGACTGTCGCATTAATATGAAATTTATTGTCTGAGCTAATGCTGCTTAAGTTAGTCAATGACCTGCATCTACGTAACGATGAAGAATTGGTAACAGTAGGCGACTGTTGTGGAAAAAAGGGGCTATAATATGATGTTTTCATTATTTCTCTCAACACTTTTTCTTCACTATGTAATCCTTCTTGTGAAACTTTTCTAAGGAAGTCATTCAATAACCGATAACTTATTTGAATGAAGTTATCGTTTGTTAAAGATGTTAACTGTTGGACTAAAAGTCGATAAATATTTACTTTATCTTTAGGTTCCACAGCAATTATTTCACCCATTAATTTAGATAAAATTAACGGATGCAAAACAATTATTTTCCCAGTTACTAAAGGTTCTACAATCTGCCAAGTATTTGAAAAAGATGATTGATGCACATTCCATATCTTCAGCAACTTATGAAAAACCTGAAAAGAAGAAAGAAGAAAATAAATCTATTCACTCTCAGCTCTCAAGTAGAAATATCAATATCACATAATTTATAAATTAATTCATTAGTAAATTAATCCAGAAGCACTGGCTAAGCCTTTTCTGTATTTAACACATCACCATATAAGTTCTAATGCCAATTTAGCTCAAATATTTCAACTTTACACGAGAAACAACAAAAAAAAAAGCCTACGTTCATGGGTAATTGTTTATTTTATGCTAATTAACCTTCTTATAATTTATATCATATTTCAATCCCATAATGTCTCACAACAACAATGAGTTACAACATAAAATAAATTTTGTGAATTAAAAAATCAACAACTACTGTCGGAAAAATAAATCAAACATTCATTTTGCATGAGAGAGAAAGATAGGAAGACAAAAATTAAGAGAAGGATGGTTGGGGTGATCAGTCAAAATAAAAAATATCAAAAATAAATAATATTTATTTTTATATTTGCCGACGTTTCGGCCTGAAGTTCAGGCCTTCATCAGGGCTAAGAAAAGAATCAGATAACAATAGATATGAGAAACTATAAACATTGAATAATAAAGAATTAAAATGAAAAAGTGAAAGGTATAGACTAAAAAATATAGGTAGAAAAAAACATAAAGTAAAATGAAGTAGATAGAGTGAACATTAAAGTAAAATAAAGTAGCTAGAATAATGACAATAACAGAGAAATAAGAAATAAATAATAATAACGGCAAATAAGTATGGATTAATGAAGTAAACTTAGTCAAAATAAGGTAACATAGGAAATAAAAAATGGTAATCTTAGAATAAAATATAAAGCAGAGAAAAGGAATATGAAATTGCATAAGGAAATAATAGATATAAATAGAAAATTGAAGTATTGTAAAATCTATCAAAATATAATTACTACGTATAAGAGAATAAATCGAATAAGATTATTATTAGGTTCCACAGCAATTATTCATTCATTATTTATTCTCAAATAAGAGAATAAATGAATCGACATACATGGAGCCAAACGATCAGATAACAACCTCCTTCCTACTCACCACCAAACCAAATCTCAAAATCGCTCTAGACCTCTTCAGTTTCCAGCAGCAACCTCTTTGCCACGCTCTCCTGGTCACTCTCCGGCTATCACCAACTCTCGCCCCAACTCTTCTTCTTTATCTACAGCTCCTCAAGCACTCAATGCACAACCTTCCACCCAACCTCCTATATCCTTCTCCTACTTTAAGTCTTCCTACCCTTACTTTAAATCAACAACCTGCGTCACCTTCACCAATGCCTCATAAATAGCAGCAAACAACAAATATTTCTTCTCAAATGCCGCTCTAATTCCATTTTTCGAAAATTTATTGAAAACTCTTGCAACCATATTTCAATATCACCTCCGTTCAACTCAAAATTGTTAACTTGCACTCTTAAATTCAAAAAATCTCTACTCAACTTAAAAATCCACAAAACTATTCAAAACATTCATTTTCTCAATAAAAAAATTTCATTTCTCACCAAATTTTTAGATCATAACATCAATCAATAATCTTTCTGTTTGTATCTCAAATATTTTCAATTCCACTAAAGCACAGAAGAAACTACTACTGATTTCCAAATTCAAAAATCTGTACCAAGCTACTCTCAAATATAATTTTTATGCTGCAGGAAAAGAAGTATGGGTAGACAATATCTCATCCATAGACATCCCCTCCAAAGTTATAAAAATTTTAAGTTTAGGACTAAATTTTTCCACACCTAATACGTCTGTCAAAATCATTCCACAACTCATTAGAGACCTAGAATATATTTACTCAGACGATCTTTTCACCGCTTCAAAATAAAATAAGGAGTTGTCAGGTGTTTCCATTTGTAACATTATTTCCGATTATCTTTTACACCCACCATTCTCCTCTTCTTCTTTTTCTCCTGAATTTTTCAAAGACCTCTTTTTAACCGGATCCTTGTTAAAATACCATGACAATATCATCATAACCAGAGCTGATAAAGGTAACAAAACTGTAATTATGGACCATGCAGAATATACTGACAAAATGACTTTCAGACTGTTCCACTTACCCTACCACATCCCGTGAACACACCCCACCACTAAAAAATCAGGTGCACTTAACACACAACTTTCATTTACCGCTCAACTTTGAATAGTAATTATTTTTTAGCCACGTTGGGCTATTAAAAAATTTTTTAATTACATTTTTAACTGAGCTAAAGCTAAATTATTTTTTGGCCACATTGGGCTACTATAAATTTTTATAATTACATTTTTAACTGAGCTAAAGCTAAAAAATTACAGCTAACAAATTATAAATACCATTCAAATAATAAAAGTCCTATTTCTTATATCACCGGTTGATTATGGAGTGTACGATCCGTTGATTATGGGTTGTACGATCCGTTGATTATGGATTGCACGATCCGTTGATTATGGATTGTACGACTATTAGTTATTAAACTGTTATTTTCCATTGCAAAGTTAACTAAAATGGAATTAAGAGATTTTTCATTGTCTGTCATAGACAGGTCAAAAGTTGTCACACTAATTGTAAGTGGATACTGTTATTACGGAATATCACAAAAGGAAATTTCATCAAAATATTCACTAATTTGAAGAGAAGGATGGTTGGGGTGATCAGTGAGAAATTCATTAATTTAATTTTCTACATGGTTACATGATGATTTTTCAGAGTTGACCAGAACTCACAGAGTAACACGGCTGGCTTTTGCTCGAGAATACAGCCATTGGACCATGGACGAATGGAGTGCTGTACTTTTTACAGATGAGTCAAGATTCCCTCTTCGATCTCCAGACGGGCATGAAAGGGTGTGGAGAAGAAGAAACGAAAGATATGCAGCCGCTAATTTTTCCCAGAGCCAACTTTTCCAACGTGGTTCCTTAATTGTGTGGGCTGGGATTTCAATGGAGCGCTGCACAGAATTGGTTGTTGTTAGTGGAGGGTCTTTGATGGCCATTCGCTATGTAGATGAGATTTTGGAACCTCATGTGTTGCCTATCCTCAACGAAATCGGCGATTGTTCTATTCTAATGCATGATAATGCACGCCCACATGTCGCCCGCATAGTGCAGACGTTCCTTCAACAGAACAATATTGAGGTTTTAGCCTGGCCAGCACGTTCTCCAGATTTGAACCCCATTGAGCATTTATGGGATAACCTCGGAAGACAAATAAGAGCGTGTGCAACACTTTCTGATACACTGCAGGATCTTGAAAGGGCTCTTAAGGAGGAATGGGCTATCGTCCAGCAAAGGGACATTTCCCGACTGGTGGAAAGTATGCCGAGGCGTCTTCAAGAAGTAGTGAAGGCAAGAGGAGGAAACACGCGCTACTAAACGATGATGTAATTAATTTCTTTTAGAATAATAATGGTTCGTTTTTCAATTTTTTTTTCTCTAATCTTTTTTACCCAATCACATTTTGATTATTAAAGGTAAACAATATTATAAAATTACATAAATACTGAGTATTATCTACAAATACCATGACCAATCCAAAGCAGAAATATTTTTAGATGAAAACATGAAAAAATCAAGTGGGTGGAATTTTTTGCCTGTCAGTGAATTTTGTAAAGACAAGTTTGTACCTGGTTGTGGCATCTGTTTCTATGACCGCGTGGGTCCTGTTGTACCATTTATTCTTTAAAAATATCACTGGTTGTATGGATTTGGGCTTAATTCTTAGAGCTGTATTCTGGTTCAGATGGTCAACAATGTTTTCTGTCATGATGCCTACCTCTATAACAGGCATGATATATGATAGATCGTAGTTTTTCCCTTGTGGCTGGGTATAGGCTGGGTCTCTAATTTTTTAAAAAATATTTTTCTTTCTGATTCCGTATAGATTTCTACCACGAGGGTTTCTTTTTTTGACCATTATTTTATTTTTATAGATTTTTAGATCTTTTTTAGTTTTATTCTTGTCTTGAAATCGTTTTTTATGACTTTGGTGTCTTTAGTTTCTTATCTTTTAAGAATTATATTGTATGATCCAGAGCTGCTTTTTTGTTTTGAAGTAGGTAAAGTAATTTTAGAAAAAGAGGGTTGCGTATTAGGAAAGTTTCAATTACTCATGTGTTCTGTATTTTTATATATAATTGGCGTATTTTGAAAGTACTCCCATATTTTTTCTGTTGTATCACATAATTTATTTTTTAATTTTAGAAGGAGATGGTCTGGGGTGGCGGTCATAAAGAAACTAAAATAGTGAAAAACTAATTTATTTCAAGTCAAAGTTTGACCCGACTTGCAGGTCTTCTTCAGGGAGGTGCGTACAGAAAGTAGTTTCAGTTACTCTGGGTTTTAACTTAAACTCCTTGCTGAACGCACCTCCCTGAAGAAGACCTGCAGCAAAGTGGTGTCGAAACTTTGGCTTGAAATAAAATAGTTTTTCCACTATTTTAGTCTCTTTATGACCGCCAACCCAGACCATCTCCTTCTTTTAAAATATACAACAGTCAACCATTAAGTATTCATTATTTTTTAATTCTGTTTTAAGAATTTTAAAATTCGTTATCTCAAGTAACACACTTAGAACATGATGTAGTCGAAATTCGGATGTCATATCGACCGGTTTGAAGATTACGGAAATCTGAGAAAGTACACTGTTGTAATATTGAAAGGGCCTGCTGTGAACTTCTAAGAATTATTTTGACTGATCACCCCAACCATCCTTCTCTTCAAAAATAAAAATAGTTTGGACTAAGAGAACAATTAAAACAATTGTTACTAGTATTGTATCTCGCTAACCTGTAAACAGGTATGAGGGCTGGTTATTAGTTTAAATAAGATCCTGGTCCCTAGGGCAGGCACTTTTATTCCTCTGGGCAAAGAAAGGTATTCTGATATCAAGTGTATATAGTTGTATTTATATAATTGTATATTGTATAAAGGACAGGCACTCTCTTCCGAGTCACAGCCTCTTCCTCCACTAAGGCTCCTGGGATCTCTATCTGATAGTTTGATACCAAACCATTGTGTTGTTCTTTTACCTTATCTGCTCTCCCTCCTCTCACTCTCTACTCTCTCCTAACCTACCTCCTCTCCTTTCTCCTTTGATAGGATTGACGTGGTTGTCCCACGTTTCGTTTCCTCCAGTCCCTCTTGTGCCTTCCCAGGTTTTCCCTGGGAGTGTGAGGTCACCCATCCTAGCAAAGTATGTGGATTTCCTCCTTGAGTTGCTGAGTCCTGGATGTTATAGGAGCTATCCCATCATTCTCGGCGGTCTTACCTCACCTTCCCTTATACTGAGACCCGCTCTCTCCTAACCTATCTCATTTATCCTTTCGTAGGATTAACGTAGTTGTCCCCGGAAGTGTGAGGTCATCCATCCTTGCAACATCTGTGGATTGCCTACTCAGGTTGTTGAGACCAGGATGTTATAGGAGTTGTATCCCTATCATTCTTGGAGGTTTAAACTTATACACCCCATCTCTTTTTTTAATAAGGGTGAATAGATACACAAAGATCAGGTTATTTGACAGTCAGAGAGAGAAAGTAAATTTAGAAGGAAAGATTAGGTGTTTTGAAAAAGATTAATAGATATAGTCAGAGATAGATATTACAACATATTGTAACATCTCTCTTATATTTGACAAATAATAATAATATAACCTCGGAAGCTCACTTATTACCATTGGGATACTTCCTAAATAAATAAGAGGTTGTTTGATAATAAACAAAATTATAAGAGAATTAATATATTTATTTATCTCAGGTGTGGATTACTAACAATCAGATCAACTCAGACAAACTATTATTATTTACACTATTTATACTACAATTAAACACTGATTTTAAAATAAAGTCAAGTATGAATTGGCAAGCTAACCTTTTTTCTATATACACTGTTTCTTCCTTTGTTGCACTAAATTCATTTGTCTTCAAATGCTTTCCAATGTTCTGCCCAACACAACTTCCAAAATGGTAATACTATTACTGGGGTTTTCCCACTGGAACCAGGATTTAATTGGTTTATTTAATTATAGACATACCTCACTTGGGAAAATGTTTAAAGTTCACCAACCAAAACTGCGTTCTTTAGACCATTTTAAATAGAGAACGTATAAGACATGATATAGGTATGTATAGGACATATTTCATAAGTTTTTCATCATATATCGTCATTGTATTTCTATTGGGATGAGAACTGGAGTTGTCAAAGTAGTAGTTTTATTGGATTGTCAGATCGAGAATAGTTTTCAACAATACCAAACAATATTACTTTTAGAGAAATAGAAATGTGCCTCAAAATATAGTATATAATACAAATAACTTATTTAAGTGCTACTTATAAATACAATATATATTATTTATATATAAATATAAATAAAGATTTAGAGCAGTGTAATAATGAAAAATAAAAAAGTTAGGTTTTTTTGGGTAAAATCTCAGAATTTACTCCTCAAAATATAATTGCTCTACTTTTGAAGGGTTGAAGATGAGATAGTAAAATTACATATATTTAATGAAAATTTAATGCTCAACAATTTTATTCGGCATGACTTTTTGTAGAATGAATAGAAATAAAAAGAGTTAAATAGAAAGAAAAAGAGTTGAATAGAAAAACAAAGATAAAAACGTGAGACAAAAATAATACTGAAATTCCTGACAACTTTTTTAACCTTATAATTGATCAGTTGACTAATTAGCCATCTCTAAAGTTTTTGGTTAATAGATTACTATAAGAAATCTATCAGCCAATATATTACCATGAAAAGTTTATTGGCTAATGGATCATTATAAGAAATTTTTTGGTTTAAAAAAGTTTTAAATTATAGAAAAAATGTAACTAAGGTCACATACCACCGCCTTCAAAGATGAATGTGTATCTATAATGAATTGAATCACAGACCTTATTCCTTCCCATCTGCAAATTATAAAACAAACAATGACTAATAAAATTGAATTTGATAAAGTTTAAAGTAAATAATTTTTACCTCTGAAGTCCACAGCATTCTAGAGCTATTAATATATCTTCCCAGTAAGATTTCAGAATGGGATAGTTGTTTTGTTGACTTTGGAAAATATGTCTAGAAACTAAAAGAATTTTTCTTCTTGCCTTATGCTTAGATAAGAACTCTAGGATAGCTGTTAAGATGTTTTCCGATAGACAGTTAGAAATTCTTAATATAAATGCAACTATCAACCAAGCATCGTGTTTATCCATAATACTGAAAAAATCATTAGATACCTGAAATTAAAAATGACAACATTTTAATGAAGCTTTACTACAACAGTTAAAGCAATTTGTATTGAAATTACCCACATCAAATTTATTATTGATTAAAATCTGTATGTAACAATTTTTTACATTAAAATAATAAATAATATATAAAATAAAATTATGATTGAGTAAAACTTATGTATGGATTTGCTGTGTTTATATGGGAATGTTATTTTAGGGATCTGAAGGACAATTACCTAGAAATATTTAGCAACAGTAAACAAAAATTAAATAAAAGAAATTTAATTATCCCCCATATATGATTACAGTAAGGCTCGAAATCGATTTTGTAACAAATATAAGCTCCTTTCATGCTCAAATACCATGAATGGGGTGCTGTTGGATTTAGAATTTCACGGGGGGTTAGCGAATCGTGTTCTCCACTTTTGTTTTTCATTCTAAAATAAATAAAGTCGATACAAACACTTTGCTAGGCTTCAATACTGGAACAGTGGTAGGTCTGTAGATAGATACGGGATAAATTGGATCTTGAAGATTTTGATGCGTACAGCAAGACCCGGATAGTTCGTTTGGAACTACGGGATCTTGCGTTTTTAAGCCCAAAAACGTACTATTTTTGAGATAACGCAAGGCATAGGGTTCGCATCAACACAACCTTATATTAATTGTAGTACTGTCATTGAATACAAGTCTCATTTCGTCGACTTGAGATCTCTATGATCGAGAGAGGAGGAGTTTATATTATTTATCGATAGTGTTTTTCAAATCTCAAGATTGAGCCACCAATTTCGAAGGCTTCCTTCTCCTTTAGGCGGGCAAAATAGTCCCATCACCCCGAAAATTCAGGCAAACAAGTTATAAAAGAAAACAAATTTTATTTGTGAATAACTAAAAAAGTACACATTTTTCCCTTGGTTATGCCCATGATTATATAAAAGATTACTAAATTCCCCACAAAAGGAAAAAAAATCATCAAAATCGGACAATTTTTAGAAAAGATACAGCTTAGTGAAATTTGTAAACATGTTAGTTCCAAATATTAATGAAGATTTACATTAATTTTTGTTTCCTTTGTCAATTATATTTATCGATAAAGTAACAATTGAATTCTTTAGCTTTTGATACGTTGCATTGTCTTATTTTCTTTCTAATTTGGCATTTGATAACAATATGCTGTGTGAATTTTTCGCACGGGCCTATTAGTATAATATATTAATTGGTCTAGAATTAATTGAATTTCCTTTAATTATGATATATCACCTTCATCACAGGCTTAAAAAACTATGCTGTATTAGTATCATATCAATAAACAAACACAGGTCCAACAAACTCATTTTTATAAAAATCAACATCCAAGTGAATGTTTACCCTGAGACACCAAACAACTACCGAAAACTAGTTAGTTGTCTGAGAAACAGTGGGGCACAATTTCATATGTTTCAACTGCCTGAAGATAGGAATCCACGAATTGTAATTAAATACTAACATCACAACACTTCAATGGAAGAAATAAAAAGAGAGGACATCCCTTCCTACAGCTAACCTTCAAGATTGCCTGTCTCTTCCACAACCATCTAATTTGAATGTACATCAAGTGCAGAAGTAGAAGCTATCTCAGCAGCAACTCCCTACGCAGCAGCAGAAACTAGCACACCAGCATCGCATTGCGCAGACGCAACCGTCAGCTCATAAACAGTCCGAAACAGTACATACCTCAAAACATTTAACCTTTGGCAGCCATTAGGAAATACACCACAACTGTTTCAGTTATTAAATGTCTGAACATTCTCATCCATTCTCATCCAGCCCGTCTCTAGCCTTTTCCAACAGCTCGTGCATGTGACTCAAGGGGCTATATATCTTCCAAATGGCCATTTATCAGCTTACTGTAGGCTCCTTGTCTATCATTTTATATCATTCTCCTGCAAACGGACTAATACAACATAGAAAAGAATTGGACTTATATTTAAACGAAAAGAGGACATAGATCGTGTTGATAACAGGAACACATTTAACACCATGAACTAAATTTCATATTTCAGGATACATTGCGCACAGATAGGATCATCCAGACAAGACCGCTCATGGTGGTACATCTATACTAATAAAGACATCACTCTCACATAATCCCTTATACTTACATCTGACATACAAACCATGGGCTTAACACTACATACCAAGTATAACACAATAACTATAAGTTCAGTATATTACCCTCCGAGATACGTACTGACACCTTCAGTGTTTTACAATTATTTTCAAAGTCTTGGACGTTGCTTCACAACACAAACAAAAATATTTCATAGATACGTTTTAAATATATTTACTATAGTTTAATAAATCTAGATATGATATATTTAAATATTTAGGTATCTATCGCCCGTTTATGCCGAAAAATCATCATATAACCTATTAAAAAATTAATTTCAAACTAAAATGTAACCTTTCAAACTAATTAATTAATAGTTTGATGAAATTTCCTTTTGTGATATTCCAACAGTATCCACTTACAATTAGTGTGACAACTTTTGACCTATCTATGACAGATAATGCAAATCTCTTAATTTCGTTTTAGTAAACTTTTCAACGGAAAATAAAAGTTTAATAACTAATAGTCGTACAATCTGTAATCAACAGATCGTGCAATCCATAATCAACGGATGATACAATCCATAATCAACCGGTGATATAATAAATAGGACTTCTGTTATTTTGATGGTATTTATGATTTGTTAGCTGTAATTTTAGCTTTAGCTCGGTTAAAAATTCATTTCAATTATTTTATTTTATAATAGCCAATCATGGCCAGAAAATAATTTCTATTCAAAGTTGAGCAGTAAGTGAAAGTTGGGTGTTGTGCGCACTGGATTTTTTAATTTAAAACAATTGACCATTTCACATTCAAGATTTTTATCGTTGAAGACATTTCAGCCCAAGCATGTGGGTAATTATCAGGAGACGTTACCAGTAAAATGTTACTAGCACTGAAGGTGTCCAAGTACTGAACACTGTGTGAGTACTAATATCTATCTGTACCCCGGAGGTAAAGAACACTACATCCATTTTTATATTTGTTCAGGGGAAACAATGTTCCAAAATTTTAAGCTATTATAATTTTTCTCTCAGTTACTAAATCTGTACTCCGGAGGAATAGTTCACCATGTCACAAATTTTGTGTTCGTTCAGTGTCCTTTACCTCCGAGGCACAGATATAGATATATATATATATATATATATATATATATATATATATATATATATATATATATAAGTTAAGCGTCTCCGGGCTTTGTAAATAAAAAAAAAGAAGGAAAGAGGAACGAGAAACAATACTCACGGCTTCTGAATTAACACTGCTTTATTCGTTCAATAATCTGCCTTATATACAATTGCTATGTTTATTTACATTACAAGATGGTATTAAGGCTGATATCGCCAGTCTCCGGTCTTTATCTCCCCCCCACCAGTTTACGAATAGGATTTTCGGAAACTTATAAATTCCTAGATCGGAGCCACCGATATCAGCCTTAACCCTTTACAATTTATTCGTACCAGTATAAACTTAAAGTACACCAAACCTCACTTCCACTCCGCTGGAACGAGAAATAAATAAAAAGAAATAAACCACAGAAAGTAAACACACAACGTCTTATTAACAATGGACAGAACTCTTAATCCTATAAAAATTACAATCACCTCTATTATGCTGCCATATCTTTATTTACAAGAACAACAAAAATAATGAGAGAAAAAAAAAATGACATCATCAACAGTAATAATAATAAAAAAAACATATTTTTTTATAATACGCGATAAGGGTACTACGAATCAGTTGGTTTCTGTACCGGTTCTAACATTGGGAGCTTCAATTGTTCAATATGAACAGTTCTCCTCTTCTTAGGTTCGTTAATGCTTTCAATGGTTACTAGATTATGCTCCCTAATAGCAACCACTCTGAATGGGCCCTCGTACCGTAACAATTGTTTCCCTCTGTTGGTTCCAATTCTACGATACACTATTGTTCCGATTTTTAATTCTCCCATTCGGTCACGTACCTGCACATTCTGCCGCGCTACCCGCTTCTCCTTTTCCCGCTGAATTCTCCCCGCTACCTTTCCCCACGTCTTTCCTACCTCTACCCTAGTACTCTGGATTTGCTCTACGAGATGTTCATCGGTCGTTGTTTCCCCCCAATCTCTCCTTGGCCTGCGCATCCCGAATAGTATTTCCACAGGTGAAAACCCCGTTACGGAGTGGATCGAATGGTTGTAAGCTGTTACGGCTTTCTTCATCGCGACATCCGGCTCCAACCCTTTCTCTCCCTGATATACACGGATGTGGTCACTCAGCGTGCTGTGCAAACGTTCGATTCCTCCTCTACTCTTAGGGTGTCCCGGTGTGTTATAATGCCACACAACCTCTAACCTTTTCACCTCCTCCCTAATCGCGGTATTGTCGAATTCTCTGCCACCGTCTGATGTGATCCTCTCGGGAACTCCGTAAAACTGTATCCAGATTTGTAGGGCTTCCGCAACTGCATTGGCAGACTTGTCGATGACCTGATGTGCCATAGCTACTTTACTAAAGGTGTCGATGATCGTGACCCACTTGAACCCTTTCCAGGTGAATGTATCGATCTGGAGGTCTTGTAGCGGCATATTCCCTGTAGGTGTCTCTTCCTGAACTCCTCTGGGGGGGTGTCGATCATACTTTGTGCGCATACATACCTCGCATTTCCCGATGATTCCTTGGATAGATTTTTTCATTCCCCACCAGAAATACTTTCGCCGTAATGCCTGCAACGTCTCGTTGACGCCACGGTGGTTGGTCTTCCCCTGGTGGTATGCCAATGTAATTGCTTGTTGCTGCTCCTCATCCTGTACGGTTTCCACTGCATACTTGCACCGGATGATCGTTCTATCCATGCCTATTCGCTCGGATCTCCACATCCGCTTTATTTTCTCCCATACCGTGTTGTTCCCAACATAGAGATGGTGTGTCTTTCC